TTATTGGGGTGATAGCTCGCCCCGGTGAATCCATGATCCCTAGTGATGTTCTTAACAAGATAAATGCAAAAAACCCGGTTTCAATTGAACTTTTTTTCAAAAAGTTTCAGGGCCCAAAATTAACCATTTCGCGAGAACTGCTCATATACTACAGCATGGCAATGTTGTCTTATAGGTGTTGGTGACCATGACGGAACTTACAAAACGACACTTTAGCAGCTTACGAAACCCAGATAAACAAAAGTTAGATCGACTTATCCACATGAGGACATGGTCTTCGTTTAGTAAAACAAATTTGAATTGCCCAAGCTACCAAATCAATCTCAGTTCAGGCGCAAGGCCCCGGTGACCTGAAACGACCCCCTACGCACGGAATCACCCAGGCCGGTTTTAAGCCCATGCTCGTGTGGGCCCTTTGTGCTCCCTTGTCCTGTAGCCCTTTTTTAGCCCTTTTTCTTGGGCCCTCTTTGGGCCCTTGCACTTGTGTGCCCTTGCCCTGTAGGGGCGGTACAGTGAAGAAATGTCCGCAGGTAAATGTCCGGTCCGATTTTGTCCATCGATTTTTCATCCATGCACGTAATGTCCAAGGTAGAATGTCCCATAATTTAATGACCACCCCTAAAAAAGGCCTGAGGTTTTTCCGGCACCGAACGAAGATGGCCGACAGTAGTGGCACTGCGGCTCTGCTTCCAAGTTCCAGAAACTCATAGCAGTGCATCACGCTAACATTTGGAAGTTCATATACGAGTGGAGGTCTAAGGAACATGATCTAAAGAATTGTTCAGTTTAGGGCTGAAAACATCCATGTCAACAAGGCCATGAATGAAAAGACCGAAAAGTGCCTACGCACGATTCATATTCCGGCCAATAGCTATGAGGATTACAACGAAAGGGGCAAGGAATTTCAGGTACCTAGAGGCAATTACGTACATTATCAAGGTGCAGCATTGATTGTCTGATGCCGTGCCAGCGATTGGCAAATGAGAAGCCAATGATACTAGATGAATCCTAGCCATTTGGAAGCCATGCCAAATAAAATTATGTGAGAACGGCCTTAGTTTATTTATGTCACTATGGATAAACACATAGTTGGACATTTAAAACTGCGGCTAAATAATTCGGGGGCATTCTTTCCACACGGACATGTTTCTTCACCGGACATTATTTCCTAATGGACATAAATTTAGTAGACATTTTTTCTGCGGACATTAGTTCCTGAAACCCCCCTTTAAGGCCCTTGAACTAGTTGGCCCTTTGTGGGCGGCCTGGTGGCCCTGTAGCCCTTTTGGGGCCCTTTTCCTAGGCGAATTTTGGGCCCTTGCTCTGTAGCCCAGAAAAGGCCCTTGCTCTTTGGGACCATTAGGTCCTTGCTCCTGGGCCCTTGTTTCTTGAGCCCCATCGGACTCCGAGCGAATCTAGGGCCCTTTGGTCCATTAAGGTCTTTTGAAGTAAGTCCAGGGGCCCTTTGGCCCATTTACGTCTTTTGGAGCAAGATCAGGGGCCCTTCGGGCCCAAGGGCCCAGGCGGCGATGGCCGCCTAGCCGCCCGGGCCAGTCCGCCCCTGAGAGAATGTTCCGATGTGGCGGCGTCTGCAGCGCGATTTGGATTCAAACTCGTCTGTTGACGGTTTGGGCCACCCGGCCGCCGCCTCTGCCTCGCCATGTCGCTCTCCGAACGGCGTCGTTAGGCACCTGTTTTATTCCGGGCATGCGAGTTTTCCCTTTTTTACTTCTTTTTCTTTCCGCCGCCCGCTGCTTGCACCTCCCACGTGCGCCGGACATCAAAGTCGGTCAACATTCTTCGCTGTCGCGGTTCGTCCGCACCTCCATCCGCCGCCGCCCCTCGCCCCGTCGGACAACGGCAACGGCAGCCGGGAAAAAAGCTACGGCCTTGAAGGGCGCCACTCGCATTTAATTCAATTTTCTCCGTTCAATAATATCCTCTTCGTACACACCAAAAGTGTTCGCACAATTTGGTACGTGGCCTCGCAGAATTTTTTAAACACACGAACTTTCTTGTACGCGAAAAAAAGTTCGAATTGAAATTTGTACGCAGAATTGCACAAATTCGTGCAAAATAGCTTTGGACTTTGAACAAAAGCACGTATGAGCAAAATCGTGAGACCACGTATAAAGATTGTACAGAGGAATTTAGTGTATACTACATGCCACCACATGACGCCACTGCAAATTTGAAGGGTGACAATCCTGCAGGATTCTGCACAACCAAATTTACGCGAGAAACATTTCTCCTCGTCTTGTGATCGAAAGGAAATAGAGCAAGATAGGCCGATCGCACTTTGTGTTCCTATTACGAAGGGTTTTCTTTGTTCTTGCGAAGAAAAAGCCAACAAAGGGAAAGATTTGCACTGGAAATCCAAGGCCATACTTTTGGTACTTTTTTTGGCGATACAAATTGAGTATCGCCAATAAACGGCCTTACGGAAAAGTATTGCCTTCAAAACGGCGATACACAAAAGTATCGCCGAAATTTGGCGATACTTCGGAGTATTGCTACGATTTGGCATTAATCGTTGAACAAATCAAGGGGACAAGTCCTTAGTTGAATGCCGCGGTTTTGGCAATACCCAAAAGTATCGCCAAATTTTGGCGATACTTCTGTGTATCGCCGTTCTGAGGGCAATACTTTTCCGTAATGCCGTTTGTTGGCGATACTCAATTGTATCACCAAAAAATGTACTTAAGTATCGCCTTTGCATTTGCAGTGTGTACTGTGGAGAACTTTTGCTTCTTATGTATGCGCCGAATTCGCTGTAATATAGCTCAAACTTAATTGTAAGACATTTAAATTGTAAGTTTCGACGTTATTTTTAAGAGGATTTTCGTTTCTAGGCGTTTGCTTGTCCCCACTCGACCTGTGACGCAATAACTCAGGACCGATCGTAAAATGGCCGCTTCATGACAGCGTAAAAGGAGGCGGGTTTGGCGGCCCTTCACGGGGTGGTCCCTCATCGGGCCAAACGGGGCGCGCTCTGGCGGTCACACGGAGGGTTTTACTCCGTTCTGAGCGATAGGGCGATGGCACGTCCCCATGGCTCACCCAGGCACTGGACGACTGCACTGTTAAAGCTTTGGGTTTTACTTGACAATTTCTAAGCCGAAGTTCCTTCTAAACGATATTCACGCCTATGCAATAACGAGGGGTCCTATTTAGGAGATCTCAACTAGTCGTTCCCCGAGAAGAGCGCCCGCGAGAAGCAGGATAGGCAACAGCCGCTGCACCATGCACCCGAGGCTCTTTGTTGCCTATCCGATAGTTCGCAGGCGCTCGGGTGGCTCCTCTCCACACTCTTATCGCAATGATTTCCCATATTCTGAAGGAAATGGCGCAAGCATAGTACGAAGGTCGCTTTTCTTGGTGTTACGAAGATTTATCTCTATAACTAACAATAAAAATGCCTAACGAAGAAAACCTGCTTCCTGTTATGCTTGCGCCAAATGCTGTTTTACTCTCAGCATGTTACTGACTTTTCCCCCACTAATTACGTATTCGTATAAGCAACAATAATTCTTTAGTATTTTCTTAGTAAGTATACTAATAGTCATATATAACTAATTTCCTTGGTAAATTAACAAAATGAGCAAAAGGTCAGTTATGCTGAGTGTACACACATAGCTTGGATTTCAGTGGAAGACATTTACTTTACAAACTACACTGTGTACTCAGTGTGCATCTACAGAGGCATACTTGCAAGTTAACGTGGTGCAGGTTTTTTTTTCGTACAGAGCATTATCTGAAATGCAAGCGAGTTTACACTACAGACCTAACAGTGTACTTGGTACACACTTACAAACGCATGCTTGACCAAGTACACACTTACAAACGCATGCTTGGACAAGTACACACAAATGCATGCTTGGGAAGTACACACTTACAAACGCATGTTTGACGCCGTATAACTCCGTGCTCAGCATAGGCGTTTGTATGTGTGTACGTGCCAAGAAGCATACATTTGTAAGTGCGTACTCGGCCAAGCATGCGTTTGTAAGTGTTTGTACTGTAACGAAGTTTGGACATTGGGCAAGAGAGTTAGAGGGAGGCCCTTTTGATTTCTTTGATCTGTCATCTTCAAGTTTGTGTGATTTGAAACACGAATTGTTTTAAAGGTTGTCTCAAATGATCGACTTTGGCGAAATTCTCTTGCGTTTCAGTTAAGGTTCTTTATGCGAAAACGAACATAAGACACTTTGAATATGACCCCTCGATGAGCATGAGCTTTGACAAAAATGACATCAAGTTCTGATGAGATCCTTACCATTTGAATGTGACGAAAATGGCGTCCAATATTTTGCCATAAACTGGCGTCAAATATTTACAGTTTTAAGTGACGCCAGCATGCACATTCCAAAACGGTGCTTTTCAGGCTCTCTCTCTCTCTCTCTCTCGCACTCCAAGCCACGTGCCTCGACGTATGCCTCGCCTGGAAAATAAATCGCGTGACGGGATTTGGCATCGGTCAACGACGGCACGATTTCTAACAACGGTTGGGTAGCCTTGCCTCCCTCGCACCTCTAGGGGACATCCTGTGAGTTAGAGAGAAAGAGAGAGAGAGAGAGAGAGGGAGAGAGAGCAGAGTTCGGAGTCAGCGCGGAGCGGTAATGTCGAGGTGCACCCGGTGCCGGTCGATGGACGCGGAGCTTTGCACGTTCCACGCCTCAAACTTTGCCTTCTTGCTGCTTCGCCGTCGGCGCCTCGTTCTCACCTCCCTTGCCTAGCTCTACATGGAGTTTCTCCCTGACCCTGCGCCGGATGATGATGGAAGCTCGACCACAACTCGTTGAGGGGCGAGTGGCAAGGGCAAGGTTCGAGACGGAGAAATCCACGATTTACGGGAAACATCCGGGGATGCATGTAATTTTCAGTGCGACCACGGGAACGACACCGGTGTCTTCAAAAACACGTCTATATTGAGGTGAAGAGAATTTCCAGGACAGACCAATTTAACAGGCATAGGAGTTCGATAGAAAAGTCTTGGCGAAGAAATCTGGGGCCAAACGTTTTACTTCGACACAAATAGTAAGTACAAAAGAGAAAATCCATGAGTTCAGTTACTATTGAATCACACCATTCGAACTCAAGCATAGGCACACCTGTTTCTTAAAATAATTTTGAACAGGAAGACATATTAAGTTGTCGATTAAAGAACAGACAGCAACTGGTAAAAACAGAATCGAAAAGGCTGTCTAAATAAGCATAAACGCCAGTTATTTCAAACCAAAATGTGAGAACATTCGTTCGGTAAGCCAGCAGACGGCCGATCGAGGGGCTACAAATCATGGCCAACTGGAGCACTCACTCGGGTACAGGCAGTAGGCCCCCCTAGAGTGCGCCGCGAACGCGACCCAGCCTTCCGATCTCCAACGAATATCAGAGAGCACCGCGAGCGCGGCCCTGCCTCGGACCCAGCCAATGGATCTCCAAATGTCAGAGTGGCACTTTTTTTTGCACCAGGTGCACGTGCAATCAGGGTTCCAAAAAAAGTCCCTCAGGCGGAGATGGAGACGAGGGTTCCTCTTCAGAAGTTCTTCAACGGCGGGGTCGTGGAGCCAGGCGTGGACGCAAACTCTCCTTGAGGGTATGGGTAGGCCGATCATCTCCAGCGTGGTGAGGCTAGGGGCAGTTGTTGGGTTAAGCGCCCGCATCAAATCGAAGCAGGGTTCCAGTTGCGACAAGTCGAATCCATCGAACTTCAGGGACAGAGTCCGTAGAGCTGTGAACTCAGGTACGGCGGCAGCTAACTGGCACCAGAAGTCTGCTTTTTCGTATGCGACATGCAGTTTAAGGCTTTCTAAGACGCGCGCAGAGGGCGATGTGGCTAAAGCAGGTATCGCTTCAGGATCTATAAACCAGCGACATGGAGCAAGAGTCACAGAGCGGAGCTGCGACGCCTCACGCAGGAATTCCGGAAGCCATAAGACGTATTCTTCGCAGCTCCCACACTCGAAGGAACGTAGCCTGGGCAGCATTAATAAAGCAGACACGGGAAGCATCATCATCGTGAAATGGACACGTTCGAGGGTGGCGGCGTGTGCCTCCAGAAGATGTTCTACTAAAGCATCACAAGGTAGACGCTCACATGTGAGCTCGGTAAGAAACGGGCTCATCTCCAGGCCACTTATTGAAGCCACCCGGCCTTCGCCAGCGATTCTCAATTTACGGAGACGGTCGGCCTTGTACATTGCCCCCAGGAGCCCATTCACATCCACGACGCCTTCCTCAACCCTGATAGGCAGGTCCAGTTCTTCAAGGCCACCGAGAGCAGAAACCTTTTCTACTATAGCCGTGGCAAAGGTCACTTCGTGCGTGGCGTCGACAGCTATCCTAAGTTTAGCGACGACACACGAGGTGCGGGACACCTCGGTGGCAGCATCCTCAAGGTCAATCCCACTGATATCCAGTTCGCGTAGGCAAGGTGCGAGCCGGAGGGCACTGCGCGACAGACCAAGGTTCTTCCATGCTCTCGCCACTCGGATGCGGCGCCACAGGTCGGGGTGGAGACACAAATCGCGGAGGCGGCGGCACAGCACGCGGCAGTCGAAGAGCTGTCTCGGCGGCAGGAACGCCAGCACGGCCAGCAGCGCGTCGTCCGGCAGGGCCAGCAGCAGCTGCGGCAAAAGAGTCCAAATTTGAGCTTCCTGGATCGACGGGGTCACCGGCCACGACTGGACTGCACTGTTATTCAAACTGCGATAACCACTGTCTATATTTTGCAATAAAAAACTTTTTACATTTTTTTGCTATGATGACTACTCAAAATCTGCAATAAAAAATTCATAGCGAAATTTTGCAATAAAGAACCACTTTTTAGCGATAATCAGTACAGAGAAAATGCTATAAAAAGTTATCGCAGAAAAAAAAAGTGATAAAAGTTACTAAAAAACGCTCCTTTATCGCAAAAATTATGGGGTGTTTATTGCAAAAAAGTTGCCATAACTAAATTATCGCACTCCAGGGTGCGATAAATCGTGGGAATCGCAAACTCGGTTTCCATCGCAAAAATTTGTAGTAAAAGTATCGCAAAATGAATGACAGTGTGTTAAATCAAAGGTTACAAAATCCAGCCCACGCCTTTAAGGGCATTAACAGTCCATGACGTCCCGAAAACAATTCGCAAAAACGCAGTTTTTTTTGTTTTTTTTTTACCTTGTAGGTGTACTACTTCCTTAGAAAACCACTCACCGATTGGTCCATTGTTGCGGCACTGAGGTCTGCAGTGAGTGTTCAGCTGACAGAGCCCCGGCAGCGTTGACGATGTGGACGAACGTGACCTGAATGGTAACAAAAAGTCACTTCAGTTACGTTGGCGGAAGACCGCACACTACATTCTTATGGACTTTTTAAATGCATAATAGGGTACTTCGGAGATAACCCAGACCGGAAGTCAGCGACGGAACGGGAGAAACAAAAGAGCGTCGAGAGGCTGTGCGGAGCGTTGGTGGGGGTCGAAATCGGCGGAGTGGGGGCGAAGGCGGCGCGCGCAAGCTGCCCCCACTCCGCCGATTTCAACCCCCACCACCGCTTAGCATAGCCTCCCGACGCTCTTTTGTTTCTCCCGTTCTGTCGCTGGCTTCCGGTTTGGGTTTTCTCCGAAGTACCCTATTGGGCATTTTTATGCATAGTTATGGATGCGCAGAAACGTCCATAAGGTATGTATGAAATTATGCATCATTGTGTACATTTTATGCATCTTCCCGCATAAAATGTGCACAGTGATGCATTTTATTATTAATAACATATGGACGCATCTGTGCATGCATAACTATGCATAAAAAAGTCCATAAGAATTTAATGCGCGAATGGACCATGGTCCACTTACGAGTGGGCCGTAAGTGCAGTTGGGATTGTTCAACATTGCACGTTTGCGATGAGCCATACTGCAGAGAACGCATCTGCCTTCCTTATTATAGAATAATATTGCGATATTATCCAGTCCATGGAAATTGATCAGATTATCACATTCCTTCGCGAGCGCTCTGACAACGCTAGAAAGCTAGCAACTGATTGGAACCATTGCCGCGAAAGACATTTTACAATCAGCGGTGCACTGGAGGCCATACGCGGCCATACGCCGTATGGCCCAGAACATTTTTTCGGCCGTGCGTATGGTCCAGAACATTTTCCTCGCCCATACGCTCATTTTTGGCCAGACGCTGGCCATACGCTCGACTTTTGGGGCCCAGGCGGGCCATTGCCACCTCTGCGCGCGTTTTGGGCTTAACGCCACGGAAGCGGTCAATGCAATTAGGGAGTTTGATGATGATAATGAACAATTACCTGCTGCACTCGAGCCCTTAAAAGCTCTAATTCAGACCTTCTCAATTAGTTCAGCTGAGAGCTGAGTGCGAGCGAGGTTTCAGCGCCATGAACATGATTTGTACTTCACTACGGAATTCCTTAACTGTTGCCTAATAACCCCCCTCCCCGCGCTGAAGACCAGAGCGTATGGTCCAGAACAAAGTTACCAGTGCACCGCTGTTTACAATCATGTCGACTTTTGTTTGGTTCGAAGAACCGTTTTTCTCCCGGGTTTTCTGCGGATTCAACAACGAAACCGGCTTAGCATCCGTTAATCTTGCACTGCTGAGTCAAGTCACTATTGCGCTTCACTTCGCCACCTCGCATTCGGGAGTCCTTCCACTTACTTTCCAGCGACGAGGTCGTCGCCTTCTGCAAGTTGTTGCGGCCCTTTGGCACCCGCGGCCCCGCCCGTCAGTGCAGTCCCCTCCTGCAATCGGTCGCCTTCGCCGCCACTACACTGGTAAAACTAAAGCGTGGTATTACCCTCTGTTTTCAAGCGTTATCAGGTTACGCTTGAAATCAATCGTAACAGGCTCATCCGCCAAGTTTCCCCCTATCTAAATGCATGGGGGAATTTCCAGAGTTGCGTCAGTAACGTCTCCAAGCGCAACTTTATGCTTAAGCGCAACTTTATGCTTAAGCATAGAGTTTCGCTTTAGTTTTAACAGTGCGCCTTGACGCCCGGGTCAAGCACGCCCCCCTCCCCCCACCCCCTCCGTACCATTTTCCCGTTCATGGCCAGCTCTCTCTCTCTCTCTCTCATTTGTTGCCCCCTGCTATGCATTGTCTGCCCTTCTCACGTCCTCCCTTGTTTCTAAACCACTCCATACACCTCCGACCCGACCTACCCTCAGGATTCTTTCCACGAGCCCCTAAATTCACGCTGCAATTCGCGCGAGCCCCCGACCCCTTTCCTCTCCCCCCTTTTCTCTTCTAGCATCGCCCCCCAATCTCCCACTCATCTATCTCTCTTTCTCTCCGCACCCCCCCCCCCTCTGACTGCGGCTGGACGCTGGAGTTTATTCTTGCCCCAGCGATGGAAAAGGGAGGCCAATCAAGATGGCATAATTGCGCCCGAGACGTACGACCTCTTGCCCCGCTTGCCAAACAGTCGACAGGAGGACAAACTGCCCCATCCTGGGCGGCGGGCCCGCCGTCAGATGCCGGGGCCCTATCTGAAGCCTGCTTGCGAGCAGCCGCTGTCTCTCTCGCACCCCCGACGGAACGCGCCATGAGTGCGAGAGAGACAGAGCGAGCGACGAGAGCAAAGTCTGCAATCAGCCCGCACTGGCAGAAATGAGTATACTGAACTTGCCTGATCTATTTTCCTTTATTTTAACCGCCTGTACCGGAGGTTCCCTTGCATGTTTTCCCAGCCAGCTTACATGAGACCTTTACAGAGAGTCATGACGCATTCGTGTCAGCAACAATAATACATAGCAATTTGAAGGTAAAAATGACTGATTTCCTTTGTAAAATTATGTTCAAAACCAAATTGTCAGTCAAGTGGTTCTTTAAAACGAAAATGTAGGCATTCCGTTGAATATTATTATATTCGTATGAATATCCGTATTACAAATTACTTGCATGAGCACTGACAAAATGAGCAAGAAGTCAGCAACCTGCTGAAAGTACAGTGCACCGGGCGGAGCGGCGCAGACGCCGCCGATTTGAATAAAAGAGCCACTCCTCTCGGCGCGGCTTGGCCGGGCTTGGCGGGGCCGCCGCGCTCGCGCTGCGACCTCTCGACCATCAATCCTCGGGCTTGCCTGGGCATCGCCTCCGCATGAGCCGCGCGGAGTCCCGCCGAGACGCAGTGAGGCTAGGCGTGGAGACAGCCTGCCCGCCAAAGCATGTCCACACTATTTGTATTGGTACAATTCAGCGGCCGTTGGGCATAAGGCCGTAAGTCACATGGAAAACCCATTGAAAATAGGTTGTTCTGTCCGATGACCACTCGATTGCCACATTGCCACTGCAGTAAAATAAATTTACGAAGCATCGCTTCGTAATACGAAGAAAAGGAAGGCATTGCAAATTTTACGAAGAATTGCTTCGTATTATGAAGCAAAATCCATCCTAGTAAGAAACAATTCTTCAAAGCACAAAGAACATTCTTTGATGCCCCATTTTGTTCGCAGTTACGAAGCAAAAGCACTAGTGAAATTAAAACGTGGCTCTTGACTCAATGCTACAGTCAAGCATAAAGTTACGCTTGAGATGAAGCAAAGACTGGAAATTTCCCAGTGCGTTTAGAAAGGGGGAATCTCGACCGACTGACACGAGTGACACGCTTCATTTTAAACACTTTCACGCAATTTCAAATTTGCGAACGTATACGAACAAATTTGTACGTACGCAGGATCGCACAATTTCGTGAAAAATTTGCGTATGAATCAGTAGACAAAGCACGTGGGTGAAAATACTGAGATCACGGACTAAAACAGTACCCAGGAATTAAGCCCGTGAAAAGGCTTTTTCTTGAAGTCACTTAAACCCAGTCTGTCTGCATGACCGAGTGGTGCCAATGAGACCACATAAGAACAATTGCCCAGATTGATTTTTTGAGCAGAGTGCCAAATAGCAAACGATCTAATCCTAGGTTACCTTTGAGTGGAGTGGCTGCTGCAGGCGCACCGAACTTGGTCACGAAACTCTGCAAAGGCCGAGAGGAAGGGAAGATGTGCCGGCGACGTTCGGCAGTTCAAAGCAGCTACTTCTGAAATGGAAAAACAAACGAATTAGCGTACATTTAAAACTAGGGGTACGCGCCGTTTAGTTTGGGCGCGTAGTAGGCGAGCGATGCGTCTGAACACATTCTTATTAGAGATGGCGAAGAATATGTGCAGAATAAGGTCAATACAGTGTCTTCCGTCACGAAAAGGCCGGAATTCATGTCATTTTCGTGATTATCTTACTGAAAACTGCAGGAAACAATGGGAAACTCAACTTTGAAATTTTGGTCGCAAATTGGTAAATTTTGGGAAAAGTAAAGGTCTGGGATGAAATTGGAAGTCATTTTCGTGATCAGCACACCAAAAACTGCAGGAAACTATGTAAAACTCGACTCAAAAATTTTGGTCCAAAATTGGTAAATATTTGGAAAAGTAAAAGTCTGAGATGAAATTGGAAGTCATTTTCGTGATCAGCACACCAAAAACTGCAGGAAACTATGTAAAACTCGACTCAAAAATTTTGGTCCAAAATTGGTAAATATTTGGAAAAGTAAAAGTCTGAGATGAAATTGGAAGTCATTTTCGTGATCAGCACACCAAAAACTGCAGGAAACTATGTAAAACTCGACTCAAAAATTTTGGTCCAAAATTGGTAAATATTTGGAAAAGTAAAGGTCTGAGATGAAATTGGAAGTCATTTTCGTGATCAGCACACCAAAAACTGCAGGAAACTATGTAAAGCTCAATGTCAAAATTTTGGTCCAAAATTGGTAAATATTTGGAAAAGTAAAGGTCTGGGATGAAATTGGAAGTCATTTTCGTGATCAGCACACCCAAAACTGCAGGAAACTATGTAAAACTCGACTTCAAAATTTTGGTCAGAAATTGGTAAATTTTGGGAAAAGTAATGGTCTGGGATGAAATTGGAAGTCATTTTCGCAATTTCTAAGTGTGTTTCCTGTTCATTGTGTCGTAACATGAACCCTGACACTGTTACTCAGTCGAGTAACATTCAACAGCCAGCATTGAATTACTTAATACGATTCACAAATGCTTCAATTACCATTCGATATCTCCTTGTTATTGAACTTATGAATACACAATGTTATAAGTAATACCTAAAAAGCCTTTTATCTCCCTTTTATTTTAAACTAGTGAATAAAACTACATTGATTTATCTCAATTAATTAAAAAGAGACACATTTACAGGCAGGCTGATTGCAACTTCTTTACGGAGAAGACCTTCTGTCAGATCCAATGAATCGTTCTATTGAATTCAATGTCGAGCCCACTTATTGCTAAACTCAAGTTAATCTTATTCATAATGATAGTCATGATGTGATATTTAATCTTTAAAACAGTATAGCATAAGTATTAACCTAACATTCTGAATAAATTAAAAAGACAGCCAACTCAAACCATGACTGACACAAATTACCAGTTATCGCAGACAATGTATGATGAAGTTAAAAGAATCGTCTCATGAAATCATATGACCAAGTCACTGAATCGTCTCATTGAATCAGATGTCAATGTCAAACCATGTATGCGCTACTCTCACTCACCATATAGTTATCTTTAAGGTTAGTACTATAGTAAACTTACAGCATTGCAATGAAGCCTTTCCCCAGAGTCAGTGCCAAGAGTCAGCAAAGACTATTTATTTTGGCAAGATTAGTGTCTGGTTTGTACTTTTAGATTGTATTGATCTATTTTCTAACTGTTATTGAGCAAAGCAAAAAACTAAAAAGTATAATGTCTGAGAATAAAAATGGAAATACACTCTCAAAACTTAAAAAGACCAAATCATTCTTGCAATTATCAAACGATCAAACACACTCAACTGACTAAAACATTTCCCCTGTGGCAGGGGAGGGGGCGGACGGACGGACGAAACGCGTAATAATTGTCACTTTCATTTTCCGTATTTCACTGTGTTGACACTCCGGAGGGGTTTCAATCATTCTAGAATATCGAAAAACTAAGACCGAACTCACTTCTAAGCCCTTCTCCTCTCTATTTTGTTTTATTTGCCAATGTTTTGCCAGTCCCGTATTTGAGAGCCGCGGCCGCCAGTATGAAAAATTGCTATATATGCTGCCAACCTAACCACGCTAAGAACCTAATTCAAAAAGATGTTTTGAATATTTCAAACGGTAGTAATCGTGAATATAAGATAAACTCCCCCTGTGGGACCTTTAGGGGATGTTCGGTGCAAAATTTGGTAACTATTAGTGTTGTAGTTGCTGAGAAACGTGAGCGTGTACGCTACAGACAGACAGACAGACGCACGACCAGTCACTTTTTGGAGCGCCCAAACACGGCAAGGGCTCGCTATCGCTCGCCAATAATTCATAACCCAGTGGCAGGAGAATAGGGTACTTTCGTAGATCCCTGAACCGGAAGCACACAGACGCCATGTTGGCGGAAGTAGATCCAAACTTGACTTGGGAAAGATACGTTACTCTGCTAACTCAAGTGTGTGCCAGGCATGCACTTTTTGGTGCATGCCTGCAAGCACACACTTCCTGGTGCATGCCTGGCAGGCACACACTTCTTTTCTGCATGCCTGGCAGGCACACACTTCCTGGTGCATGCCTCAGGCACACACATGCATGCCTGGCAGGCACACACTTCCTGGTGCATGCCTCAGGCACACACTTGCTTGTATGTGTGTGCCTGAGGCATGCACCAGGAAGTGTGTGCCTGCCAGGCATGCAGAAAAGAAGTGTGTGCCTGCCAGGCATGCACCAGGAAGTGTGTGCCTGCAGGCATGCACCAAGAAGTGCATGCCTGGCACACACTTCAGTTTGCAGAGTAGTCAAACGTATCGGCCACACTTGAACATAAACAGCCGTTTGATACTTGTTTGCAGTGCATATGTGTTTCGCGAGCAAAATTTGAACAGCTCGGCTATAGTTTTAGATCCGAAAGGAGGTTAGTTTCCGGTCAATTTGGCGTCTGCCGGTCTGCTCGCTTCCGGTGCAGGATCTACGAAAGTACCCTATTTCAGCACCGCAGGTCTCGGCGCACACTGAACGTAAAGTCCGTACGAGAGATCACAGTTTTTCCGAGGGGATGAGTTTCTGGTGCAGTTTTCGAACGAAAAACTGCACACTGTTCACCATTTCTGAACATAATTACGTACAAATGAGTACGGAGGGTTCATCTGCACCAAAAACTGTGACGTCTAGTACAAAATTTGCACCAAATAAACAAGGTAGGTGTACGCCAGACCGTGTCTTGTCGTAACAGGCTTCGCGATGCTGCGCCAGTTTCGACCATCCACGCCTGGCGTACCTACCTTGGCCTGCGGCGCTAACCTGCCTTCGGCAGGCTGCTTTTCTAGGCAGGCCGTGGAAATGGGCGTGATCCCCTCAAAAATAACATTTGGTCATCAAAATCTACACCAATCGGATTCAACTTTCGGTCGGGGGTCCGAACGGGTTCTATTTTCGTCATCAGCAGCCTCAAAAACATATGAAACGATATGAAACTTGACACAAAGTTGAAAGTACCCAAAAAGTTGTCTTTTTTCTGCCGTTTTTTAAGTGTTTTTTGGGCTAATATGACCGAATGGATTGAGATAGAAAGCTGAATTTTGGTGTGTGGCGAGCCAAGGACATATCTAATGACCCTGCAAAATCTCAGCCAGATCGGCCGAGCCGTTCAGGAGGAGTAGTGCACACACACACACACGCAGACAGACAGACAGACAAAACTTTTCAACCCCACTGGAGTAACGGGCTTCGCTATCGCTCAGCCAATTACAATTAAAACAAGCAGTGTGGAAGCGTGGTGGCGTGATAAGGCGGAAATGGGACGTCCATTAGTAGAGTATTTCCGCGACTCATGAAACGTACAGAAGAAGAACACAAGTGCACACCTTCCGTCTCCTTGCCTGAGGAGGGGGCGAAGATGGCTGCCCCTTGAACCCCCTCCCTGGAGAGGGGACGGAAGGTGTGTACTTGTGTTCTTCTTCCTTCCGTTTCAATATGAGCGGAAATACCTAGTTACGTTATGTGCTTAGGACAGGACAAAAAGGTGTGTGAGTGTGGCTTGTCTGCGTAACGCTACGATATTACGGGGAGGGGGAGAGAGGCATCCCAGCCATCGTAGCGTAAAGCCACACCCAGCACAAATGAGAGCACATCTCAAAGGAGAAGAAATAGAGTTGAAAAGAGAGATTCTACGTAAAGATACGAAGTGCGGGTCTGGTCCTGCGTAACGCCCCGTTGAGTCCAAAGTGTCCAAACCTGCTTAGCGCATGAATGGACGGCCCCAAGGTACTTGCTGAAAAATAGTCCCTGCCAAGAGCCTAACAGACATCTGCTGAAAAGTTACCTTTCAATGCATTCCAAAGATTTCGCTTATACGCTCAAGAAACGCGTTGCAGAGATGGACTCAGCATAGGTTACATGTACAATCCTGAATGAACTCGGCCAGTGGGTCATTTTAGGCTTCCGGTTTGGTATATCTCGCCTCGACCCACAGCTCGAGTGGAATAAACTGAATTCCTATCACCCGAGAACAGGGTATTCACTTAATCTTGATCGGGAAGTAGTGAATAAAAGAGCTTGATCCACGAGGAGCTGTAAGTGGGCACGCGCTTACATCAGAGTTCTGCGCCTTTACTTATAGTGGCTTCCGGCCTCTGGAGTTTGAACCACGGAACAGCCTTCACTTGAAATCATCCGTGTCCGAGGGTCTCTACGGATCACCGACGCTTCAGTCTTTCAGCGTCCTCGAGTATGGCATTTCAAAACTTTCTTTTATAATTTTACAAAATTAAGTTGCGATGCTGAAGTATCTATTCTCTTAAGATATGAAACTGTCTGATGTTAATAACTAACCTTCGGTGCCCTCGTTCTTGCCCGTGACCCGGTCGAAGCTGGCCCACCAAATATATAGATTCGTCGTTGAATGCAAGCAAAAATTCTGAGTCGAATGGGCAAGGTTTCGCCATACGACGGACTTGTGAGTGGTAACGTCTCGGCCTTTACCCGAGAAGAGCGCCCGCGAGAAGCACGATAGGCAATAACCGCTGCACCATGCACCCGAGGCTCTTTGTTGCCTATCCGATAGTTCGCAGGCGCTCGGCTGGCTCCTCCCCACACTCTTATCGCAATAATTTCCCATAATCTGAAGGAAATGGCGCAAGCATAGTACGAAGCTCGCTTTTCTTGGTGTTACGAAGGTTTTTCTTTGTAACTCACAATAAAAATGCCTAACAAAAACCTGCCTCCTGTTATGCTTGCGCCGAATTCTGCAACATTACATAACTCGGATTTCAGTGTATACACTGTTTACTATTTATTGTGCTTCGTGATGTACCTCCAATCTTATAAGATATTTAGATATTTACTCTACAAGCTAAAGTGAGTACTCGGTGTATGTGCATCTACACACTAAATGTTTGTGTACAAAATTTGAACGAGACATCACAGTTTTTAGTGCATACAAATTTTGTGCAAAAAAGGCGAAAAATGTGCAGTTTTTCGTAAGAAAATAGTACGAAAGTTTCGTGTGCACTGAAAACTGTGATGTCTCGTACGAAATTGTACATAGCATTTAGTGTGTGCAGAGGCATACCTGCAAGTAAACACCTTGTTGAGTGGAGGGAGGGGAGACGTGGCGTAAAGTGAGGCGACTGTGTTCCTAACCAGGAACCATTTTTGTCGTGAGTGTTTTCGGCGGTACGGTTTCTTTGTGATGTCGGCGGTGTCTGACCTCGCTGCGCTCATTCCATGAAGCCGAATCCAGGACCAATTCCACTTCGCAGACCGAGGCGAACGGAAGGGCTGGATTGCAGGGACTGCCGGGGAAGGAGAGGGGGGAGGACGAGAGAAATAGAATGGGACGAGGAGCATAGAGGAGAACGGAGTAGAAGTTTCGAGGCCAGCAGACTGATTCCGAGAGTCGGTTTCATCGTTCAGTCTCTCTCGCACTCAAGCGAAATCCACTATAGGTGGGCATGTGACAGAGCGATGAAAACGACTCTCGGAATCAGTCTGCCGGCGCGGCAGACGACATCATTTGCGAATGATTATTGTCATGCTGGAACTTTGAAGCCGTCTCAGCTCCACCATTCAGTCTAACGACACACATTGTGAAAATTTGTTGTCACTCTATGACAAAAACGTTGACGGTATTTTCATCACTTTCAAATGATGACAATCTCATCACAAATTGATGACATTTTTATCAAAGCTCCTATACTTATCGCATGGGCGTGACAACAATGTCATCAACTGTTTTGATGACATTGTTGTAAGGAAAATTGGCCTTGAAATTGTCATCAAGCACGCAAAAAAATGTAAATCAGGCCCGTGCTAATTTTTTTAACAGATCGTTTATAGCGCGGGCGCTAAAAAACTAGCACAGCTACAAGCGACCTCAGGTGCGCGCGGCCAGATGTTTAGCTGGTTACCTGCCAAGCAACCACTCTCGCAAAACACAAATTTGTTGGCGGATTTAGCCATTTTGTTTTTTTAATACTGCTAGTCGTGAGCTGCTAACTATTGTTTGCAAGCCTTAAAAAATTTCTAGTAAGCAAGCAAAATGCGATCTGACGAGACCAGTTGATATCATCGTCGTCCAGTCGCCGTCGCGGTGGAGGAGATCGCCGCGAGAGTGCGCTGCGCGCGTCGCGCCGCCGCTCGCGCGCGGTGACGGTGTAGCATGCGTTTTCACCTAGTCTGGGCGCCATCGTTTGTCCAAGTGCCTGCCAGGAGGCGGGTCGCTTCCCCTGCTGGACTGGCACTTGACTCCAGCAGGCAAAGCTAAGTGATTCGTGAGCGCGTCAAGAGTCACTGACGTCACCGTCCTCTTTGAGATGTGTCCGTGATCGTTAGACCACAAGGAGTAGACATCATTCGTAATGATGGTTTCATCTTTTCATCTCGGAATATCCAGGGGGGAACAACTTAAGTATTTATCAGCAAGATTTTATTGGTTTACAACTAGGGATTCCTTACAGTTCCAGCTAGGACGTTAACCCGTTGCTAGAATCGCCCAGCTAAACTTTTTAGCCAGACAGTTAAAAAGTTAGCTGCGCCTATAGAGCTAATCTTATTGGTGCGGGTGCTAATTTTTTAGCTCTAATGAAAATTATTTTTTTGCGTGAGTGACGACTCAAACTTTCACAGTGCAGTCTCATTGCGATGAAGAGATATCTGTCTTCAGCTAGGTAGGAGAATAAATCATTTATAGTCACGATTGGCGCCAATCCGACGACAATCGGACGTCAGAGAGCGGGACAGCTGCAAAAGGGAGGGGGGGGGGGGAGAGGCCTCCTGCCGGAGCAGAGTTCTACCCTGGTGTGCCTGTGCCTACCGCGCTGGCTGCAACCCCGGGCGAAGAGTTTTTTCTGTGGATATCAGAGAGAGGGAGAAAATGTGCCGAGCTCGCTCTATCGGTGCAAGCGGAGTGGGGTGAAGAAAGCTAAGGGGGGGGGGGAGGGGGGGTGAAAGGGGGGTCGATGTTCACTGCAAACCACAGCATTGAGTGGTGCAGCAGGTTTGTTTCCGAACGGAGGCAGGCCCGTCGCTCTGTCTCTCTCCAACCCTTACGGAATGCCCCGTGGAAGCTGAGAGATAGAATGACGAGACAGGGCACTGTCCGGGAGGGGAACATTTTTGAGGACGGAGGGAGGGGAGGGAAGGGAGGGAGGAGGATGGAAGGGGTATATCGCGATGGAGTGGCTTGATGGTGGAAAGGATCATGGCCAGGCGATGGGAGAGGATGCTTCTCGAGGAGGAGGAGTAGGAGGGGTGTGTGTTTAGAGTGGTGGAGCGTGGGAAGGGGCATGCCTCCCCGGGGCGCACCATTTGCGCTGTTGCATTCGCCTGCGGACTGATTCCGAGAGTCGTATTCATCGCTCCGTCCCTCTCACACTCATGGGGCGTTCCGTATGAGTGGGAGAGAGACAGGACGACGAAAACGACTTTTGGAAACAGTCTGCTGCACACCCTACGAATGGGGCGGCCTTTAGGCGGGCAGTAAAGGGATTCCAGTAGACATTTGGAGTGGGACTCTTCAGTCCTTCTCCCTCAATAATCAAATTTCAATTTCTCTCTGTCTGCCCCCCCCCCCCTTTCTCTCTCTCTCTCTCTCTCTCTCTCTCTCTCTCTCTCAATCATAGGAGGACTCGTAGGCGCCAGAGTCAGAGCGACCAAAACGAATCAGCCTGCAGGCGGTTCTGCTGCGCTGTCGCGAACTTTCTTGAAAGGGCAGAGGGGGAGGCAGGAGATGCACGATGC